GTTATGTGGGGTTGGTGGCGTTACACCGTGGTAGGCTTTTGCAAGTTAGCTTGGTACGAGAGAATAAATAGGTGAATTTCATTGTTGTGAACTCGGTCAAGGTTGTGGTTACACTAGCAGAATGAGGGATTTGGTACTGAAATAACTCATTTGGGGTTAATGGTGAGATGTTGTGTAGTAAGTAATGGGATTTTACCTTGTGTGGCGTGTAACAGTACATGGTTTGTGTAATTGTTGTTAGATAATATGTAGGAGGGGATTGGTCATGAGATGATCTCAGGAGGGTGCCTCGGTGGGGCAATAATTTGGTTAATCTATGAATTGAGTAGTTGGAGTTCGATAGTTCTGGGTCACATGGGTGTGAGTTTTGTTGTTTGGTTTGGGAAGTGGAGCTCTGGAAGAGGTGGTAAGATTGTGTGGAGTGATTGGTGCGCTCTGTCAGAATTATTTTGACCTTATTGATCCTTATATGCGTGGTGTGAAGTATTGAAGTGTGCGTTGACTTGAGGAGGTGTGTTGTGTTTTAACTTGAGAAGTCCATTTCAGACTCAAATGTGAAGCGAGGTTGTGCTTACCACTTAGGCATATGTGTGATGGGTGAATTGAGAACCAAAGTACTGTAGGTTAACTTTAAGGAATCTAGAATGGTTCAACGAACATGTGAGGCCGAGTATGGAACTCCATTTCAGAGTTAGTGAGGTTGGGCATGGTGTTGGTGTTTATGTTGATGTTGATGTTGGGTTATATGAAGTTAAGTGGTATGTCGGTGTTTGGAGGCTAGAGTGGGATAAAGGTGTAGTATTTGGGCTGGTTAACATATAGTCACCTCGGAAATAGATTGGAATTCAGAATTGCATAATTGAACGGTGTCATTGTGTGGCATGTAAGCCCTGTATGGACAGTTAGCATGTTGTTTTGAGTTTGTGGTAACTTGTTTGGGGTTACAGTTGTAAACTTTGGTCATGTGAGCATTTTTGCGCCATTGTGTGATTGGTGGGTGTGAAATTTCTTTACTTGTGTTACAATGTTGTTGGCACTTTGGAAATTTTCCAAAGATTTTTATTGTGGAAATTAGTGTTGATTTTATGTCGTCGCCACGAGTGTAATGGATTTTATTGGGTGACTATGTTGTGAGTCACCGAACGAACGAAAAGAAATGATTTTGAGGAAAACAAAAATCTTCTTTTGATATTGTGGCCTTAAGTAGTTTTCTTAAACTAAAACGATTTTGGTTTGAAATGTGAGTTTTTTGTTTAATAAAAAGCTGAATCCAATAATAATAATAATAATAATAATAATAATAATAATAATAATAATTTGAAAATGAAATTGATTTTGGTGTTATGAGTAATACCTGTGGTTTCGGAAAAACAGTTTGGAAATTCCTGAGTTTTGTTATGGATGATTGAAAATGTATTTAGGTTGTGACGGTGTGAGTTTGATCACCTTTTGGGAAAGCAAAGTGTTTTGAAACAAATTGGGAAAATAAGGAATTTTCTTTAACCTGAATGGGGTATCTTATATCTTGTATTGGGGAGTCGTGTTTTGACCTAGCCTGAGTTGCTAGTTACATGTTGTATGTTTATTTTGTAAGAACTTAGAATTGTCGGGCATTGATGTGCCATAACATTGTTAGGATTAATCGTGTTTTGTTTTATGCTCTTGTGCTACGAGAGAGTTGATTGGGAGCTTTGTGTGTGAGTAGCTTTCTTATTCTCCGTGTCCGAGCGTTGAGCACTCGATAGCGATTTGGGTATTGTCGGTGGTTGAGGCGTAGATCACGTCTTTGAGTTCGAGGAGTTCTTGTGGTAGTTGTTGTTTATTGTAACGTCCTCAAAAAAAATAACATTTAAATCAACATTTTAGACATGCATTGATACAAAAGAATTCAACCATTTCTATTCCTCAGAGTAATTCTTACAACTATATTACATGTTAACAACAAAAGCAAATGCCCTATGGGCTTACAACTTTCCAAGTTAACACTTGGTTACAAAAAAGAAGAGTACTAACTCAATACATATTAAGCCCTTGGCTTGAATTTACATGTAATACATCAAAATAAACAAAAAGAGTCTTCAACTCCCATCATCATCCAAGCTATGTCCTTGGAGGTGGCATGCTACCTGTACCTGAAAATGATATTCCCATATAGGGTGAGCCACAGCCCTGTAGAGATATGCTAAACACAGTATGAGCAATGACTAAGATATTAGCAATTGATAAATGTTCGATTTCCATAAACCAATTCATAACCCATTTCCATTTCATTTCAGTTTCCATTTCTTATCAATTTCACAATTTACATCAATGGCTCAGAACCTGGCCAACCACTTATATGAGACGATGACTCATATTGAACACTTTCCATTTTTCAATAGATAAACATATTAGTTGTATCAACATCTCAACAGATAAGCATACAAGCTATATCCACATTTCAACAGATAAGCATATGAGCTGTATCAATACTTCCAAAGATAAGCATATGAGCTATATCCACACATTATCTGACAAGCATATGAGCTATATCAGTGGAGTTCATCCCCTATCTTCTCCCAAACAACATCCGGTTTAGAGGTCCATCCCCCATCTTCCCCTAAACCGTGGAGTACATCCCCTATCTCCTCCCACACACACAACGTATATACACAAAGGTCATATACACAATCAATCAATACATAACGTTAATGTATTCTATCAACCGTCATACTCTATGACATATCCAATTGATTAGTTTTAGTTTGCCTAATCATCATGAATTGTCTACAACAATCAAAACTACCCTCCACCGGTAACCCAAGCAATTATTTCTAAACAGATAATAAAAGCTCCAACAGATAAAATATCAATGCTTTCAAAAGTGAGCGATTTATAAATCCAACTCCATCATTTCACAACATAATGAACCAATTTCATTATTTCCAACACAATTCCATAAGTTCACAATTATCCCAAATTAATTATGCCAATTAATTTATACCACAAATTAGGGCTTTCTCCCCCATTTTCCAATATTGACCCAATGGTCCATATATCAACAACCAACAACAATACCGCTATTTTGAAACCCAAAATACTCATTTTAGAATCAAAATAATCAAACCCTCTTTGACATTTTGAAACCCTAAGTCCCAAAATTTTCCAACTTCAACACTTTATCAAAATCACCAAAAATCTATGTTAAAGACCATAAAAGTGAGTAGGAATCCCTACCTCAAATTCAGAGCCCAAGAGGTGAAGATGTAGAAAACTAAAATGCTCCAAACTCCAAGATTCACGGATCAAAGCGATGCCCTCGACGATCAACACAACCTTTACAAAGGGCAAAGGGAAGGAAAGTACTCTAACTAGATCAAACCCTAGAGAGAAGGGAGTTTCTGGAGAGAGTGGCTCTCAAAATATCTTTTTAGAAAGTAAGAGAGAGAGAGGAAGTGTAGAAAGTGATTCAAAAATGCCCAGCTGCCCTCTGTTATACGACATTTCCACTCGAGCGGAAAACACAACGCTCGAGCGTCAAGAACAAAAATCTGGACACGCTCGAGCGCAATAAGGCCCGCTCGAGCGCCAAGACACAAGAATAAAGCACTTCCGCTCGAGCGCGAAAACCAGTCCGCTCGAGCGTAGATTTCCCCCTCCCAGAACTTATACCCAGAAAGTACTACCTGCTCGAGCGCCAACAAACCCGCTCGAGCGTCGCCGCTCGAGTGTAGAAATCACATCTGCAGAAGTTTTGCAGGAACACGAAATACTGGAGGTATGATCCTTTCTGCATGAAATATAGTTTGATTTGTATTCATTCAAAAAAAACTAGGTACGCTCGAGCGCAAGAAGTCCCGCTCGAGCGCCAAGACACAAGAATAAAGCACTTCCGCTCGAGCGCGAAAACCAGTCCGTTCGAGCGTAGATTTCCCCTCCCAGAACTTATACCCAGAAAGTACTACCCGCTCGAGCGCCAACAAACCCGCCCGAGCCCCACCGCTCGAGCGTAAAGAAACCCGCTCGAGCGTAAAAATCACACCTGTAGAAGTTTTGCAGGGACACGCAAAATTGGGAGTGTGCAATATCCGCTCGAGCGCAACAAGACCCGCTCGAGCGGAACGACCAAAAACCTGGCAACAAGATTTCAGACCAAGGTTCAACCCACCTGTTCGAAACAAGCCTAACACATCCTATAACTCACACAAACGGAATTTAAGGATGACAATAAGATAGATACAACTACCAACTTCACGGAACCGAGTCCGGAATACAACAGAACAGTAAAGGGACAACCGGGATCGCTAAGTTATGTGGATCAAAGAGTCATCAGTGAGGTTTTCATACCATTCTTGGTGTTCGGGTTTCTTCGGGACCCCGAGGTGTTGGACCGAGATGTATCCCCAGATAAATCTAAGCTTGGGTTAGCATTGTGTTTCTTTTATAGATTAGGTGGCCTTTTTAGTTTTGGCTTTTTTCAAATTTCAGGGACGAAATTTCCTAAAGTGGGGAGGTTGTAGCACTTGTGTCCTTTAAACTATTGGAGAGTGTATTTAATTCTTTTACTTTCATTTTGGGAGTCTTTGGAGTTGTTGTATTTTGGTTTTGGAGGAGTATAATTCAATTTAGACTTGTTGGAATTATTCTTTCGCACTTGTTTTCGTTGAAAAGTTCTTTGGGAACATGAAAAATTTGTTCTGGTGTCGACACTAGTCTTCTTGGCCGTCGACACCACCTTGTTGCTTTACTCTTAGAGCCTCTACTGGTTTTTGGGATCGACACCCTAAGTTCCTAGGGTCGACCCTTGTCTGCTGCACACTTTAGTGTCTTGATGGTCAACCCCTACAAGTTATTTTCAAAAATTGTGGTTCTGTTTGGGCACAATTTTGGGGGGTTTTAACTTATTCTTTTCTTTGATTTTACGACTATTATTCTACCACTACAGACCCCAAACACACTTTCCTCATTCACTTTTTCTTTTTCTCTCTCTCTTTCTTCCCTCTTTAAACCGTGAATCTCTCTCTCTCTCTCTCTCTCTCTCTCTCTCTTAGAAACTCAACTTTTCTTACATAGATCTCTAGATCTACTTGGTTAGAGACATCTTTTCACCTTGGTCCTTTGAGAAAAGTTGTAGATCTCATCAATGGCTTTCTTTTGATCCAAGAGTTTTGTGGTTTCATTGACTTTGAGTTTTTCAGAGTTCTCGTATTCGCTTCAAGAGGTAAGATCTATTTTCTAAACTCAATATGATTTTGGTAGCATATTTGTGGCGTATTTTGTTATTTATATTTGGTAGTCATTTGGTATGATTTTTACTCTAGTTATTTGTTATTACAAAAGATCTATGGATTTGGGTGTTTTAGATTAAACTTAGGGTTTGGGTTTGAAATGTAAAAGAGAGTTTTTTATTAAATGAGTTCTTGAACAAGGTTATGATTTTGTATTAATGGTTGAGATATGTTGACATCGTGGCTTTCCTTCACTCAAAAGTGATTTTGGAAGAAAACGAGGTTTTGTTCTAAAAACATGGGTTTTGGTTTGTGTTGGAAAAAAATGGAAAAATGATGTTGTAGGATTTTGAAAATGGTTGTTGTTACTCTTTTGGAAAATATATCTATATTGATATCTTTTTATTATTACATTAGAGACAACTATTTTGGCTATCGGTGGAGGATAGCATTGCCGTGTATTAGAAATTGCATATGGATTAGGCAATTTGAAATCATTTATATCATGGACCATGTAAAGGTTTTTTTTTTTTCTTTTTTTTTTTTAAATTTAAAACCATATGTTTGGAAACAAATTTTGGAAATTCTCGTATTTTGTTTTGGAACATTTGCATTGTTTTGGAAAACAACATTTTGGATCACACGTGTTGTGCTATTGGAAAAAGGTAAATAAAGTGGTAAAGCTTCGAGAGGATGTTAAAGCATAATTAAGTCGGCATGTGTGTCCATGGTGAAAGACCTAAACCCGCATAGTAGGTGTCAAGCCTTCCGGTTAGCACCGGTAAAAATGACCTTGTGACTTGTATAGTTACTCATATGAGCACAAACCCTGATTTGCTCATTTTATTTACTATCATGTTGGTTTGGAACAGGATGTTTGGAAAATGGTTTTAACAACATATTTATTATTGTCTAGCGATGTATTCATTTGATTTAGCAATGTATTTGCTGGTTGGTATTAAGATACCTGAATCGGTTTTTATAAAGGGATTTTATATCAAACAGATGATTTGAACTTGGAAAAAATGTTTTGATTAAACGTAAGGTTTTGGTAATTGAAAAGAAAGGATTTTGTTGAGAAATCAAATAGATTTGAAAATACATTTGAGCATATTGTATATATGTATTGCATCATAATCATTTATGTTGGTGAAGCATGTTTAGTTTTTGAAATATTCTCTACTAGGCTTTATGCTCACCCTACGTGGCTAAAAATATTTTTCAGGTGTACATGTGTGGATATGGACTGAAACGTGAAGCTGTGTTCGAAACCGTGTAGGATGGTTCTGTTGTTTGTAGGCTAAGGGCCATTTATGTTATTTATTGGTCATGTGACATTCTTGTAAAGGTTACACCCTTGCGTATAATGTAAGTCTCAGAGCGTTTAATTTGATTTATAACATCTGTGCATATTTTAGTTATAGAACATCCATTCGGCTTAGATGTTGTATCTAGTAATATATAAAAAATCAGATAAACACATGTATTGTGTGACTAAATTATATTCATTTGCATAAGAGTTGTTATCTACTGTTCATCGTTGGGTGATTTATTCACGTGAGGCGGACCATGTAAATCCGAGGTGTGACATTTACAATTACAGAAGAGTGGTGAGAACTCTGGTGATTTGATTTAGCTTTAATTAATCAGTCTCAGAATAATCTTCTGATAACATATATTATGATTTAACTTAATTAATCAATCTTGGAATCGTAGTATGAACGCATATACTGTCATTTGAAGGATTGTCAATGTTGTGTTCTTTACATTTTAATCTATGACATTCAGGGTATTAAAACAGTATGTAGATGTTCTTTGAATAAAGTTGGAATAGCTTTCTAATTATTCTCTCATCCTGTGCTTTCATTTCATGGTTATTTTGGAGCCCTTTATTCTCTCCTCTGCCACCACTGCCACCAGAAAAGAATCCAGTTCCAAAGCAATGTGGAAAAATAGAAAATTGACACCCCTCTTTTATGATCATTTTTGTAACTTTTGGTAATCTTTTGAGGTGGCAAAATGCTCTTTGCATTCACACTAATATGCTTCTTCATCTTTTGCATATAGCTTCCTGTCCTAGAGTGATCCAGGGGCTGCACACTTAAGCGGGTTGTGTTTCACCCTGATTCTACCAGGTTCAGGCCTCTGAATCGACCTGACCCATTTGCAACCCCAAATATGCCAACTCAGGACTTTTACAGTTCTAGTCTTCAGCTTGAACAAACCCTAGAGGTTTTGGTGAACCCATCTAGCCCAACTGAAGCATGAGCCCGCTTGAGCCCGTTTATTTTTCAACCTTCGAAAAAGCCTACTTTTGCCGTTAGTTGATGACAATAAAAAGTGTAAGCAACCCTTTCCAACTGTGCAACTGAAATGAATGCTATATAGTGTAAGGTGTATATATATATGACAAAGAGGTCCCTAAAATAGTGTGCACTTTAAGTATTAGTTTGGCAGATACATACAATCATAGTTGGTGCTGTTTCTGCTACAAAATGTCCAAGCCAAAGGAACAAGAGAACCAACCCCCTCAAGGTCCCTCTCTCTCTCTCTCTCTCTCTCTCTCTCACACACACACACACATAATGCATAGACACACAAGCACATGGTTATATTCTTTACATCAAAGAGATGAACTGACCTTAAAAAATTTTTATTCAAGGATACCCAACTGAAAATCCTCCAACGGAGAAGAAGAAGTGCCGTCCGTATAGGAAGAAGAAAGGAGACAGGAGCTTCATCGAGGGTTGGTAAGCCTTCTTGTATCAATCTTCACAATCAAAAGTTTTGCATAGAATCTAAAAATCAATACAAAAACAGTTCAACTAGACTAGTAAACTTGGATGGAACTTTACTTTCGAGAACTCTTAAATTTAGCAACTTAAAAGTGATATACTTATCCTGTGTTTGGTTGAGGGATTTGGGAAGGGATTTGGAAAGGGAAAGAAAAGAAAGAGAAAATGTGTGTGAAACTATGTGAAATATAAGCATGATTTATTCACATTTCACCTACCTTTTCCATTTCCCTTTCCAAATCCCTTTCCCAAATCTCCCAACCAAACACAGCATTAAAATGCTCAAATAGCATGTCTTCACCCCTCAATTTTACCTGAAGTATATATACTACCAGAAAGCTATTGGAGACTAGTCTGCCTAAAACCATTTACACAAGAACAGCAGACTTATCCATCACCTTCATCAAAACCGCTAATCAGGTTTTTTTTTTCTTCTCTCCTTGTTTTTCATACTTCCAAGTTTTCATTTAATATCATTTATTGTGCAGCCTCTTTGCTCTATGTTGCTGTTGGCTCTGTGAGACTTGCTTCTGAAAGATGACTATGAATGCGCCACTTCTGCATAAGATCAGATCACTATGCTATCATTGTTATGGGTATTGATCTTTTATTCTGGAATTGTGTAACTCGGTTGTGAAGTGGATCTTATGTGTGAACCACTAGAGAGCTAATAAAAAAGTTATTTTCGATCTCTTTAATCGATCCCTTTTTATTGTGATTCACCAAACTAACTGTTTGAAGTATATGCAGAAATAAGAAGAATTTAGGACAATCCTGAAGAAGATAGCATTTACAGCTTAAAACTAAATCGTGGTTAGCCTAATAAATAGCATTTAAGATAACATCCAATTGAAGAATGGGTTTCAATCATATATATATAGGCTTTATTCCACATATATTAATAGTTCATCTTGTTTTTAAATCCAACTAGTCCAATTAGCCGTGGTGCACACGCAATGGGTATATAACTCAAAAAAAAATTATAATATTAGAATAATGGTTTCTCTTTAATTATTCAATTCAAATAATATTGTGATAAAGATCATAAAAAAATTAAATAATTATTTTTAATTTTAATATCTTTTGGTATTCTCTTTATTATCTATAAATTTTTTTATTTGTTTAACCAAATTTAAAATTATATTCGTTCATAATTTTTTTGGTTTCCTATCTATTTTTTTTTTAATTTAATATTTTTTAAAATCTTAATAATCTACAAATAATAAAATACTAATCAATAAATATAAAAAATAAACAAATAAATTAAACCTTATCAGCTATAACAAATAAATTTAAAATTTTGATTTATCTTCAATTATATTTTTAAGTTTCATTTTTTTAATTTATTTTCTTTTTTAGGAACAATCCAAATAATTTTGTTATAATGATAATGAAAAAAATTAAATATTTATTTTTAATTTTAAAATATTTTGGTGCCCTTATTATCTATAATTTTATTTGCTTAACCAAATTTAAAATTATATTCGTACATAATTTCTCAAGATATCCTATATCTTTCTTTCTTTTTTTTAATTTAAATATTTTTTGAAATCTTTTTATTATCTACAAATAAACTGCTAATCAATAAATATAAACAAATAAATTGAACCTTATCAACTATAACAAACAGATTTAAATTTTTCTATTACTCATACATAATCTTATAGATATCCTATCTTTTCTGTTATTAATTTTAAAATGGGTGAAAAGAAATAGTAATTAACCCTAGGTTAGAAAAATTTTAAAAATACAAATAAAATAGCTTAAATCAAATAACTTTACATTAATCCACCAGCTGAAAACAAATAAATAAATAGTTTAGAAAAGGAGAATTGATTCATCACAATTGATATATCATAATAAATAAATAAAATTTTAAAAAAAAATTAAACTAAAAATAATAAAATATATATATATATATATATAACAAATTGCAATTCAAATACTTGGAAATCCAGCATTAGAATATCTATTAATATGAAAAGATCAAAGATAGAATAGGAAGAAGAAGCAATAACCTTTGCCACCAGAAGCTCCAATAGCAATGCATTCACCATATTTGAAAAGCTTATTGTCTACAATTACACTATAAATCTCATCCTCAAACACAGCGTAAAAACATTCCTAGCAAACCTTTACAAACAGAAATTTCACTCACACATAACAGATTCCACCAATACACAAAATAAGAAATTTGTGAAACAGTAAAAAGAAAGTGAACCTGTAAGTTTGAGTTTCAAAATTCGAAACTGGGCGTTTAATTTGCTTCCTCAAAAAAATCAATGCTTGAATTTATTTATTTTTTAGATGCTCTAACAACCAAGAATGTCAAGACCCATTTGCTTCCTGAACAATCACCACAGACTAAAATCAGGAAAAATAAAAAAAATAAAAATCCATACCAAGATGAGAAAATCAACACAAAATTGATTCTACAGAAACAAAAGCCATAGAAAAGAGCTTACAACTCGTTTTCAGGATTTCTTCTCATCTAAACCCACATATACTCAAGTAACCAACTTAAACAAAGAAATCAGAAACCAAATAAATAAAATAAGAATTACCCATCACACAAAATGGGGCGAACAACAAAACCCAAATTGGATCAAAATCTCAATCCAATGCGTAGACGAAGTAGACGAAGATACTAACCGACTCACACACTAAGTTCAGCAACTAAAACCGTAGAAAAAGGAAGAATAGAAATTATAGAGTAGTTATTTGAAGAATGTGATTTAGTGGGAAGTTATATCGTAGAGTAGCTTTTTTTATTATTATCATTATGTAAATGCCACATGGCAAAGACTTCAAGAAACCAAAATAGAGGCTCACTTACTATAATAGCATAGAAGTATAGATTTTCCTATCAATATAATGTACAGTCAAAAGACAAAACCCTTATATGGCCAAAGATACACTCCCTGAAGCAAATTTAATAGAAGGGCAAGATCATTACAAGTTTAAATTAGATAAAGAAGAAATATTACATTTATAAATACAAATAAAAAGAACTAACCAAACAGCAATGATTTTCAAATTATATCCGACTGTGGGAACAGCTTCTCCAGCATGTTATTGGAAAGGATATGATTAGGGTCCAATTCCTTTCGTGCTTTATTATATGCATCCACTGGAAAACGCTTCCTCAACCTTGCTTGCAGAGTTGCAAGCTCGTCCTTGTCCTTTGGAACCTGCACAAAATATACGCACTAGTAAATGATATGCAGAAAAATTCAATTTTATAGCTAAATCTATACAGAGACCAATTCTACGTATCATCCCCAATACATCTTGCATGCATATAGTATCATCTTTAGCTCAAACGTCCAGATACAGATCCTTAACCGACAAAAAATCAGCTTCATTATTTTTTGATCCTTGCAGCTAGATATAATTCAGGATACATGTTTATAGAGTTTGTTTACTTTTGAATTAATTTCAACCACTTTAAAACGAAAATGTCCACAAATATACTGGAATTTTTGCATTGAGCTTGGTCAGAATGTAGAAACTCTGCATAATCAAAATGAATTCAACCCAGAATGTAAACCTTAGGACCTCTTTAATTTTCAAAAATTGAAGGAAATGACAGGTAGTAGACATGTTTGGTTGTCTTCTGTTTTCTGTTTTCGTTTTGTGGAAAACATAGAAAACTTGTTTAGTGAACTGTTTCCAAAAATTTGTTTCTGGAAATTATCTGAAAATAAATCACTTTTGAGGAAACAATATGAAAACAATTGACCAAATAGGTAAAGTTCTTATTTCCTTAAAGCTGAGGCCGTCAAGCAGAAGGTCAGAAAATTGAAGGAAATAACAATTACAAAGTTTTGATTTCCTTAAAGCTCAGGCTGTAAAGCATTATTAAGAACACAGTCCAAGCCCAGCAGCAGCCACTTTGTGCAAATAATGTAAAAATTTAGGTCTATATCCAGTTTTAGCAAGACGGTCATTATGCAATAGCAAAGTTTTATGCAAATACATGGGATGATTCTGATAAATGGATGTTACCGGAGTACTTCGTGAGAAACATCTTCAGAAATTTTCTATCATTTGACCACATCCTTTTCTTCTCATCAATTTCTTCTGGTTGTGTTTGGATCTTGCATTAGTGGGAGGGAAAGGAGACAGAAAAGAGAAAAATCGAGCTTCTATTTCATTTTTCTTTTCCCTTCTCTATTCTTGTCCCTCCACAAATCCAAGATCCAATCTCAGCCTTAAAAATTTTCTATTTTTCTTATTTTTTGGAAAGTAAATAAAGACTCTTAATTTCTAAGTCAGGAAAAGTGGATTCCAAGGAACAGAATATCCGGGATTCAATTAGTACCTCAATCTTAGCCCAATGTTCATAAGCAGAATAACGATCCCATAACTGTGATTGGCTCAAATGCCTGTAGTGGAAGAACTCATCTGTTATTTCTTTCCTCTGACGAGCATCCATTGTGGGAAGATACATAATTATACCAACCTGTAACACGGAATTGACAGTAGATGAGAATACGAAGTGCCAAATCAAACAATCACATACTTGATGAAAGCTCCTCTTAAATTCTGCAACGCAACCAAAATGCGCAAATTGCAATAATCTTATATTTCCATGAACTGATAGAATCAGGATCATTACTCTGATGAAAAGAGCAAACCAACAAGTCACAGACTTGATGAAAGTTTGATCATAGTTTTGGGTTCTGATGGCTTCCATAGTTGGCATGGCTCCAAGTTAAGACTTGAATATTTTATTTATTTATTTATTTATTGGGCAGTTTAATCACCTGTTGCCAACCAGTGAGACGGAAACAAAGCAGGAAATCAATTTCCACTAAACACAACTAGCAAAGCCCTTTTATGCATCTATCTGTTCAAAAGATCAGTTGGCACGGATACACCTACTAGGGACACATCCACCTGACTCAATACTCCTCGGACACATGTTCAATTGTGTTCTATTATTCTTTTTAATTTATTTTATTCTGAACAAGTTTCAGAAGTGGGAAATATTCATTTTGAAAAAACAAGTGAGATGCCAAGATTAAAAATTAAAAATAAAAAAATGAACCATACATAAGGAAGGCATGGAAACCAAATGCATACATAAACATGGCCAAGTGACTTAATTTTTTAATCATCTTTTTATATTTAAAACCCTAAATGTTTTACTACTTTTAATTTGTCCACAAATAAATTGTAAAAGTATGACACTAGGGTTTATGATTCCCACTTATTTTCTAACATACAGTATAAACATAAAAAAATGAATCATTTGTTATTATTTTCATATGTTAAAAATGAATAATTTCTTTGTATCTTTGGCCCCGTTTGATAGAGCTGTGGGAAAATGATTATAGCTTATAAACTGTGAACATAAGCTGATTTTTGACTTATAAATTAAGTTTCTCCTCCCCCACTCAAAAAATAAGTTGATTTTTGACTTACAAAAAGCTATAAGCTGTATTGTTACGCTGAACCAAACACATCAAAATAGTTTAAATTAAGTTAAAAGCTGAAATAAGCTGGAAATAAGCCCTACCAAACAAGGCCTTTGTGTGTGTGTGTGTGTGTGTGTTTATCCATCATCGTATCCCCACCGAAAGACATCTTAATTTTTTAGAAATTACCATATAAGCATAACCATATTGTGTCATAAGTGTGTCTATCGCCCATATCATGCCTGTTACTAACTCAAGTATCAGCGATGATGCTTTCTTTGCATGCTTATACGCAGCAATGACCAAGTGTACACCAATTCAATTTAAAAATGCAAAGCCTTAAAAAAATTGAAAAGCTATAGATGAATAGCTTGAGACAACCTCAAAAATGAGCTAGAAGAAAAAAGTAAAATTTGATTAAAATAAATAATCCGTAACTCACTATTGAAAATATTTGGAAACATAACAGCTAAACTATCCTCTACCGTTTACAAATGACAAATTACCATTTGTGACAGATTCAAATCAGCTTTGTAAAAAGCCTCTAAAGTCCTACCAAGATTTATTTTCAGGCAGTACAAATTTTATAATGGTGGTACTTAAAATGTCTCAAGATAAAAACTGAAATCAAAATTTAAAAAAATACATCCAGAAGATTTAAAAGTTTGCATGCTAGCATAGCACAAGAAAAATTGATGCTTCAAATTAAAATGGCCCACTGACAATAAATCAAAGCAAAGAAACAGTTGTGATGGAATTACCCATGAGAAAATATCATCATCTGCTGTACTTGAAGCCGGGCTCATGAGGCTCTTGCTGTGTGCCGTCCATCGCTGTTCTATAGGAGCCGGTGCGGGTATCGCTTCCTTGTCTATAAGTTGCATCAGCTCTTCTATATATTCAAGATCTTTCATGCTGGGCTTTGATAAGGTTCCAGCAGGAAAACAGGTCTCTGATACCCACTGTTGGCCGCCACAATCAAAGCCCAGAATTTCATCACTCCAGCCTACTCTGTATCCCTCTGACTTCCTCCAGAACTCTGCCTCAGCTTGATTGACCTTTATGATATGGTTTTTGTTGAGAGGATCAAGGGCAAGTAGTTTATCTCTTAGCTCTGTAAATGAAAGCTCATTTATGTCTTGCTCATTGTTGTCCACAGATTCGGTTGTTGTCACTGCACGTCTGCAAATAGCTATTAAAGCAGGTCATTAACCCAAATAAACAGCAATTTAGAATTACATGGAACACTGATAAGAAATGAAAACAATAAATAAATGTGAGATGAAACAGAAAAAGAAAATTTCCACAAACATTGAGGTCATTGCTCTTAATCAGGGAATAAATGATCAATAGCCATTAAAAGAAGCTTTAAAAAAAATTAAAAAAACAAAAAAGCAAAGTGAAAGTAGAAAAACAATGTGGGGAAATTCAGAAGGCAAGTAAATTAAAATTCATGCGAACGACATAAACAATTTTTTTATTCGTGAGATAAAGGCAAAAGCAAATGGAAAACAGAGGAAGCATGGCATTGGACTGTGCAGCCTTCAGTATAACCAGAAGAATTACCATAATCAGTTTTCTCACATTTTGTCTCAATTCTGACAAGGAAATACTAACTGCTAGCAATATAAAGTCGCAGCAAAATTAGACGAGTGCTTTACCTGTACTTCTTAAGAGACTCTTGGTAGAGGTCACGAACATTCTGCATAGCTTCATCATGACTATATTTTGGTTTAAACTTGGGCGGACCTTTCCATTTGGAAACAGGGTTGCATCTCACAACCACAACAGTGTCAGTATATGGTATATAAAGATACTTGACATGCTTGTTCTCAGATAGAAACTTCCTACAAAAAGAAAGAGAGAGGACTTGTGATAGTCTGAGAAAATGAATTATCCCATGAGGCTGCATAATAAAATTAAAAAATTGTGATATTACACATGCATCCATGCAACACACCCATCCAAGGACACGGTGTTGTTCATCATAGGAAAATACTTAATCAATAACAAAGGAATTTCGTCGTACAGCTACTTAATCTTAATAGTACAACCACTGTTGTAATACTAAACTACCAAGGAAACCTTGAATTACCTTCGTTTGAATAAATGCTGCCTTTTTTAGTTTACATCCTTTACAAAGTAAACCAAGCTTAACAAGACATGACATGTTCTTCGTTGATATTTATTGAGGAGTTTGACAGAGTTTAGCTGACCCGAGAAATTTTGTAAGCCTTCATAAAACAAAAGATCCTCAAACAGAAAATAAGAAACTGAGGTCAGTATTGCATCAGTTGGAACATTCCCCAGCCAGGCAAGGACAGTCCTCTGCTGCCAAGCCCTTTTCTTATATTTTAATGACAAAGGGAGGCCCCAAATGCTTTCAACAAAGAATCATTTAAAGAAATGAATGCATCTTGCATTTATGCCTAACCCAAGATGGGTTTTAAACAACAAACTACAAATATAATACATACATGAAGACCCATAAGATACAGCACATCTAGGATATTGTAAGGAAAATCAAAAATTAAGATAGAAGAAGTTAATAATGACTGAGCACATGATTCGTTATCTATCTCCAGCATTTAATCCAAATGCCCTAGTATCCAGTGAAGCATGATGATCAAATCATCCTAATTTCCCATTAGCTAGATCCCTAAGGAGGAAGTCATTCACTGCAAAATCATCATTATATACTTGCAAACTTTGGTTGGGCAGAAAAAAGAAAATAATTACTTGTGATTTTTCTTTATCTCTTCCGTATTTGAGACAAATGTATGCTCCACGAGCTCTTGTCTCTCAACACATTGAAGAGTTACTTCTGCAACTACGCCAAGGGCCCCAAGTCCACAGCGAGCAAGATAGAATAGTTCTGGATCTTTCTCTTTTGAAACCTCAATTGTCCCCTTGGCAGGAGTAACCAGTTTCATGCTGACAACCTGCTCATCAATAGGAGGCAATCTAGCACCAGTGCCATGTGCACCAACCTGAAGATGGATAGTGCAAAAAGAAACTAAGTTGTTGACACTGCAACAAATAAGCATATGGAATAAATCACAACATATGGCCTAAAGGTGTTATGCGCATGTAATATTCTTCCTTTCTTCAAACACCCAACCACGCCAAGGAGGCACAACCCATGCATATATAGTGCATTCCAAAAAACTCCACAACTAAGTGAGAACTCATACAAAAACATCCAGACTTGTCAATTTCAAAAATCTGATATCCCATAGTATAGGTGATTCTAGTTATATGATGAGCTGCACTCACTAGTTCCATAAGAATCGTAAGGTGTCAAATTTTTGGCTTACCAAACAATTCAAATCATTATTATTTTATTAAAGATCCATGGACTTGAGGAGACTAAAAAGGCCACTCTCATTAAGTATTCAGATAGGCTCACATATCTCTTTCACCACTTTGCTCTATATTAGAGCCATTATTTATGCAAAATCATACCACCATATTTATTCTCACTACCCAATGCATATGTTAACTTGTTCACTTCGTAATCGATTTATTGTGATTGTGATCATCAACCTGGACATACTGATTATTTCTACAAAGAAAGGCACAATCTAAGTATCATGTTCTCCATATTCAACTCCAGACATCTACTATTACAAGATGTCTCATGTAAACCCGCAAAAAATTAACAATACAACAATGGAAAATAAGCACTTGTTAATTATGTCAAAGCGAACGCCTAACTCCATTAAAGCAATCATATGTATATATTTATATATGGACCAGGTGAGCATGTTGTGTCCAGGCCTAGAAACAAACACCAATATACACACAATCAAAGACAATGAGATTTGCGTGGTTCGGCAATGCGCCTACTTCCACAGGCAGCAGATTTCTCTATAATTAGAGGGAAATTACAATGCTCTCAAAGTTTTTCACTCAACTCACCTCACTCTCTTACTTACAAACACACTCTGATTCGTCCACACTTTTGCACACTAAACCAACCCTTGCACTCCCTATTTATACACAAGATGGGAGAGCCAAAGTCAGCTCATCCACCGACGAGAAACAAGAACATTACCTACAGCCACTCTACAACAATCTAGCTTGGCTGAAAATCGCACTGCAAAATCAATAGCTCACTTTCGTATCCTTTCGTTTTCTTCATGTGCCGCTATATTTCACTTTCATGGCTTTCATGAATCAGAGCCAACAAACAACATAGCATCATTAAAGACTATAGAACTGAAATATGACTGATTGAGTGTACTCTCTTCAATTGGATTAGTCCAAAAAAATACCCACCAATCTGAACGATACAAAATCATTACATGTACTTATACATACATAAAAATTAACACCTATCAAGCAACAAAATTTACAATGAATCAGATAAATACACATATAACCCAATTATTTAATTTAATTGTCAAAAAAAAAAAACCTGAACAATGCCGCCAATCTGCTGTTCCCTAATGGAAGCGAAATTCTGCAAAGTGAGTCCATAATCTTTGATCCCATCAACAAGCTGCTGAACACGAATCCCCGCCTCAACCCTAACCGTCTTCTTCTCCTTATCCACCTCCAAAACCCTATCCAACAGAGCCAAATTGACCATCCCAAGCCTCGTCAAACCAATTCCATTGGGCGAAAGACCCGACCCGACGGGCCTGATCTTCTGCTTCTGGACATTGGCATCTCTTACAATGGTTTCCAATTCCTGAATGGACTCGGGTTGAAGGAAGACCCGAGTTTGGACCTCGTGAGTACCGCTCCAGTTGGATACGGTGTGGAGATCGTCTGGAAGAGGGGCGTAGCGGAAGAGCTGGGCCTTCTTGTGCTTGGCATTTTCAGGGAAAGGGAAGGAGTAGTAGGTGGCGATTCCGCAGCCGACGAGGAGGGCGAAGTAGCCTACGTACTTGCGGAACTCGGCTTCGGAGGATGATGAAGAAGTTGAGGAGCAAAATGGGCGAGTGAGGTTTGGGTTTTGGGTGGAGGATAGGGTTTTGAGGGGCTGAGAAAGTGGGTGGTGATGGTGATGGTGATGGTGATGGTGATGGTGATGGTGATGGTGATGGTGGAGGGCTTGGTAGAGGGATCGCCTGATATTGAGAGCTCGGAACATTTGGCTTCACTGTGTGCGTAACTGAGAGACAGTAGGGTTGCTATATATGTATAGAGAGAGAGAGAGAGAGAGAGAGAGAGAGAGAGACTGCTACGGTGTATGCCTGGGCTCGGGCTCGTCTGCGGAGGGCCTTGCTTGCTCTCCCGTTTTTTGTCTGGCGGGGCCGAGTCAACTACCAGACTGATAAGCAGGGCCTTATTATTTTATTTTATTTTTTTTATTTTTTTAATAAATTATAAACACATTATAAATTATTTTTTGTGATTTTAAAAATTATATTATACTTTTAAAATTTCTAATTTCATAATAAATAGGTCATTTTATTAACAAATCATCAAGTTAATTAACAATTTTTTATAATGTTAAAATTTATTTCAATTAATAATTTAGATAATTTTATTATTGTATAGGTGAACAGATAGAAATTTCACTTTTTTAATTAATTCTATTAAATAAAAAATTCTGACAGGGAGGTATTTGTAATTTTTCAAATCATAGGGAGCAATTCGTATTTTAAGCAAATCTTATAGGGTGTGTTTGTAATTTATTCATTTTTTTTTAGAATTAATGATAAATATATTATGTATTGAATGAATAATTTTTATTTCAAAATGATATAAAATATTACAAAAATTTATATCATTAAATAAAATAGATGTAAATTATTAATAATGGTAGAGTAATTAAATCACTATAGGTCAAGTAAATTCCAATTGGCAACTATTAACCTACCAATTATTTGCATTATACTCCACCTCAATAATCTAATACAAAAAAATAAAAATAAAAATAAGGGTAAATTAAAAATACACCTCATAAGGTTTAATTAAAATACGAATCACCCCTTATGGCTTTAGAAATTACATTCTAGGCCTTGAGATTTCTAATTTCGTAACAAATTACCCCTTTTATTAATAAATCATGAAGTCAATTAACAGTTTTTAATAATATTAGAAATATGTTTCAATTAATAATTTAGGCAATTTTATTATTGTATTAGAGAGTAATTATGAATTTCAGTTTTTTTAGTTAATTCTGTTAAATAAAAAATTTCTAATAATGGGATATTTGTAATTTTTGAAACCTGGGGGCAATCTATAATTTAAACAAACCTCAAGAGATGTATTTGTAATTTACCCAAAAAATAATAATATTAACGAAATGAAATAGTGAAAAACAAATTATTGATCAATCATCGGAGGAGACAGACAATTCACTCGCGTTGCCCGAGGATATGTCATCCAAATTGTTTTGAATTTTTTCTTTTTCACTAGAATTTTGTCATAATGTTAACGCATATATATGAACTCTAGATATCATCAGTGTTCAACTATTTTGAGCGAAAACATATTGCGGTAATCATTTAGCACCCATCTACCTGCACCAAAAACTGTTTCCGAAGCAACTATAGAAATAGAAACAGTTAGTATATTACAGGCTATTAGTGAAATCACAGGCCACATAGTTTCATTTTGTTTTCCATCAATCGAAAATGTGAAAATCATCGAAATCATCCACTAATGGACTTTCCAAATAATGTTGTAGTTCAAAACTACTTACGCTTGTATGTTGAAATATTATTCTACTTTTTATTGCTGAAAAAATACTTAATCTCTCGCCTCGAGATGAGACTACTGGTGTAATGTATGTAGGTGTATTTGTAGATGCAGCTGCAGCTGCAGCTACCTTTATTCTTTAAATAATGTTTTGCATGTTTGCAAAATATGGGTAAATTATTTTTTATCAACGAAAATACGTTTTAAAAATTCTTGTAAACCAATTTCTTTATACTTAGGATCAATTATTATAGCTAAACTTAAAAGAAGAGGCAATGGATCAAAATATTATCAAAATTTTCTTTCATTGAAGTAATAATGGTTATATAATATTCATGACCCATATATTTTACGAAAACTTTAATTATATCTGTTAACATATGTAAAATAAATGGTGAAGTAGGAATATATATATATATATATATATAAATAATTTTGTTACAACAACAAAAAAAATTAAAAAAAATCTTTATACAAGTTAGAGCATCTCCAATGGTTTGCCATTGGAGCTGCCATTGCTATATATAGCAGCTGCCATTAAATTTTGATGCTCCAATGGCAAAGCATAGCAGCTGCCAAATTTGAGAAATGTCAAAGCTTGTGTCAAATTTGACACAAGCTTTGGCAGCTGCCATTCATGCCAATTCAGCCAAAACCAACGGTTTCCCTCCCTCCCTCATTCCTTCCCTCTCGCGCCTCCCTCTCTTCATGCCAACTCAGCCAATTCATCAAACAGATTCACAGAAAAAAATTTATTATCTGTTTGTCAATTTGATTCATCAAACAGATTCACAGAAAAAAAACAAATCCAAAAAAATTACAGATTCACAGATTCATCAAACAGATTCAAACAAATCCAAATCCAAAAAAATTACAGATTCATCAAACAGATTCACAGAAAAAAAAATGATTAATTCACAAAAAAATGAATTGATGAATTAAAAAACCAATCAATCTGTTTGAGAAGATCGGGGTAGAGAGGAATGAAATGAAAACAAAAATTAAAAAATAATCAACCAGGGCGTAAACTGATTAATTCACAAAAATTAAAAAATCAGTCAAAAGTTAAAAAAAAAACTGATTAATTCACAAAAATTAAAAAACTGATGGAATGAAATGAAGACCTTTGAGAAGATCAGGGTAGAGATAAGGGGCGTAATGGATCAACCAGGGCTTAAGATCAGTGGAGAGAGATCAGTGGAGAATCTGTTTCACTACTCTGCTAGAAAGATCATCAGTGGAGAATCTGTTTCACTACTCTGCTGGAAAGATCGGGCTTGAGAATCAGTGGAGAGATCAATGGCGTAATGGATTAACCAGGGCTTGAGATCAGGGCTTGAGATCAGTAAAGACCTCTGCTGGAACTCGCACTACTCTATTGGAAATCGGGACCGAGATTAGTGGAGAGAGATCGGCTTGGTTTGGGTTTGATTTGGAAGATTTGAGGAGAGGAGATGAGAAAAGATGAGAGAAAGAAGAAGATCGGTGAGAGCAATGAAGGAAGGGAGAGAGAGAGAGAGAGAGGGGGAGAGAGAAAGCTTGGTGTATAGATAGATAGATCCGACTCAAACAGGAGGGTATATACATAGATAGATAATGCACGGATTGTTCTAGATAGATGGATGGATGAGCCGTTGGATTATATAATCCAACGGTGCTATTTTGTGAAAGGAATGCACATGGGTTTGAGCAACGACTCTTTTTCATCCTTTTTCAAACAACAGATATAAATTAACAGGCATTTTTTCCAAACGGTCATATTCTGTATTTCTATAAATAAAAACTCTTCATCTCAATTTCATTTCACACCAAACATTTTAAATTTCATTTTTCTTTTCTCTTCTCTTTATCTGAATTTTATTTCACACCAAACTTCACAAATTATTTTGCTTTTTGTTTTTTCACACAATCACTATGTAAGGTTCATCAAAAATGAAGAGAGGAAAATCATTTACCACTCAAGAAGATGTGGCAATTTGTAGAGCTTGGTGTCACATTACTGAAGACCCAATTATTGGGAATTCACAACCTCATTCTCATTTTTGGGGAAGAATTTTTGAAAATTATTGTTCATTGCAGAATGATCGCTCAAGAACACAAGTGTCTATCTCATCTCGACGGGGTGTACTCATGAAATGTTGTAACAAATTTCGTGGGTGTCTAGTGCAAGTCGAAAATCTACATCCAAGTGGGGCATCACAAGTTGATATAGTAAGATTTCATTTCCATTTATTATGTTAGTTTTTTTATTTGTCTTACATAAAAATTAACTGATTAATTAATTTAATATTTTATTGATATAAATGCTTCAAGCAAAACTGTTATACCATCAAGATGAAAGCAAACATTTTCTTTTTGAACATTGTTGGCCAATCTTGCAAAACAATATCAGGTGGCAAGATGTAACTCCTACGAACACGGTAAAGTCAAGAATACATACACCGTTTTTCCCTAATTCAACCCCTGATTCCCTTATGGATAACTGCATTTCTCTTGAAGATGACACCAGTCCAAGTGTTGGTAACAATCCAACTGTCGGTGAGGGCAGTGTCTCTGCAAGGGGTAAAAGGCCGATGGGTAGGAAATCTGCAAAAGAATTATTTTGGAAAAATCAAGTCGCTCAAGCTGAAGTTCAAAAAATGGGCACACAATTGGACACATTTAACCAATACCTTGCTGAAAAGGAAAAGAAAAAAAGAAGAAAGAAAAGAAAAAAGGATTCAAGAACTGCAGGAGATGAAAGAACTTGAAATGAAAAAACATGAGTTTGAGATCAGAAAACAAGAACATGAGATGAAAAAGGAAGAACATATGATAATGACTACGGATATTTCTCATTTGGACCCTCAGATGAAAGTGTATTACACAATGCGAAAAAATGAGATTTTCGCCAAGTGGTTCTCAAATGTGAGCAGCCCAAATTTTTATTTCTCCTACCTCCTGATGAATAATTATAAGATAAATGTTAAGTCTTTATTTTTTGTAATATCATTTATTTTTTGATGTAATTTTTAATCTTTATTTGCAATGTAATTTTTATTTTGTAATGAAATTTCAAGTTTTTTTTTTTTTTTTTTTTGAGTTTTTGAGTATTTTGTACTTCACAATGTAATATTATTTTTTCAATGTATAATGTCCACTAATTTGTATTATAATTTAATATTTTCAATAAAGTATAATGCAAAAAAATAAATATATTTTTTCAAATGAAGGCAATAAAAAGAGAAAATACTTTAGCTGATATTAAATGAAGATAATTTTATTATAATATAAATATATAAATTTTTTCAATTTTTCCAATTTTTCATTTTTTTATATTTTTTTATATTTGTCTAGTTGAGAAAAATATAAATATATAATTTTTTTAACAAACAGGTAAAAAAATGTCACAAAAGAAAAAAAATAAACAAAAATAAAATCACAAAAAACCTATATCCAAACAAC